ATTCTAAGACTTGTCCTGGGAGTGTTGAGATGAAAGAGTAATAAAGGGCTTTCAAAGTGCCCCCCCCCAAAATTACAATAGGTCTAATGGGAAACATATACATCTCCATCATAGCTTTCGGAGTGATCAGTAATGTTACCTCTCATAAAGGCCTTGGGGATACTTCATCTTAAAAATGTATCTACAGATACTTGGTAACGTGTGGACGTTTTCAGTTAGATTTGTCTACAAGGATACAGTAAATGTGACATTCAGAGCTTGAAATGTTGGCCACTCGGAGGAGTTCATACAATAGGGCTCACACATCAAGAACTTGACCATTAGCAGGTGTCGGCAAAGAGACGGACTCTACCCAAGTACAGAGGATCATGTAGGAAAATGCAAAGCATACTAGAGGCCAGTGTGTTTAGAGATAGGGTTTGTAGTGTTACAGACATCACGTTACCTCTGACCAGTGTTAGGTGGGGATAGGCAAACGGATTCCTAGGAGGTCTTTACACTTGAGAACTCTGTTTCTGTGACTTTCAATTGCAGCTAAACAATCCCCACTTGAAGTAGGATTCGTTCCTTCTGCATGGCGTATGATGTTAATGCTCTAAGGGGTTTGAGACAGGATTTATGGTCCTCCCACTTGGAATTGGCTGGGCATACCCCTCCCCTCTGACACTGTAACTTGTAGGTATCTTCGTACATACAAAAATGCAAATACATATGTGTGTGTGATATAATGTAGTTCTGTAATTAAATATCAGCCTCCTCACCCATTATGTAGGGAGATTAGAATTGTTTGAGTAGGTACAAGGCAGACACTATTCCACAATTTGCTGAACCATGAAATAAAGCGATGAGCTTGTGCCATTGGATCTTACTTATTTCAGCTAACATTTCTCACTGGTGGGGGTAGTGGAAATGTTAAATTCATATCTTTTAGTGGCATTGTAATATCTTTGTTCACAGGGGCAGAGATAGGAGCAAAGGGAAAGAAAATGGGTTTGGGGGGCCAAAGACTGGGATTAAATCACTATTCCATCAGCTCATAGTTAGGATGTTAGGCAAGTGACTTAATCTCTCTGAGACTGTAGTTCCTTATTTGTAAAATTGGAACACTAGTACTTTTTCTTCACTAGTCTGCTGTGAGCATAAACAAAATACTTTTTGGGGAGTTTGTACCTAAATGTTTGACAGGTAGTAGACACTCAAAAATGTTTAGCTCTATTTATGTTATTAAAATAGCCCAGAACAATTTCCCCCTGAAAATATGCACATTTATACGGGCTCATGTTCACACACGCACTAGAGTAGTAAACTTCAATATTGACACTAGTTGTTCCCTCTAAAAATACTTATGACTTTTATGGAACAAATAAAATATATCATTCAAGAAGTATGTGTACAACTAAACCAATCATAGTTACCAAAAAAGATAAAGTAGGTAAAATAGAAAGCCACAGTGCATATCACATGGAAATTTACTACTTTTTAAGGTTTGGGGGGATGATATTTTAATTACTTCTGTGTTTGCATATGGGTGCCTACATATAAAATTCAATAAAACATTTTTAATATTATTATATATAGTCAGTATTGTTTTGATTTACCTACATCTACCATTTTCATTGTTCTTTGTTCCTTCCTGCATCTACAAACTTCCATCTAGATTTATTTTTTTTCTCTATATAAGGAATACTCAGTAGTATTTTCTTCAGTGCATATCTATCAGTGGTGAATTCTCTTAATTACTGTTTGTCTGAAAAATGTATTTTGCCTTCCTTCCTGAAGGCTCCTTTTGACCAAAGGCTTGATTGGCAAGTCTTTTTCTTGAGTGTTTTAAAGATATCCCATTGTCTTCTAGACAAAACAGTTCCATTTTTTTAAGTCAGTAAATTTTTATTTAAGGGATTTCACATGGGAGTCCTTCCACTGCTGATCACCTTAGCTCCTCCAAAGTGGGAATCACAATCTCAAAATAACCCCTTTACAAAGAACTTTTGTTCAACCCACAGTTGTCGCTGTCAGTCAGGCCACACTTCTTATGGTTGGACTTCTCTGATCTCCACTTGAATACGGACAGACTTCTTGCTTTTGGTTTCGTTTAGCTCATAGACAAAGACTTAGACAAGTGGGAAAAACAAATCCTCTTTTGCAACCCAGAACTCATTGTTCAGTGCGAGTTTTGATACAGGTGAAAAGGCACATGATTCCGAAAACAGTTCCGTTCTTTTTTAGTGAGAAGTCAACTATGAATTTAATTGTTGTCTATTTGGAGGTAATGTATATTTTATCCTGGAGACTTCAGGAATTTCTTTTCCTGTCTTTGGTTTGTAGCAGTTAAACTGTGCCCTGCTGGGGTGAGAACTTCTTTTTCTTTTTCCTGCTTGGGGGTTAGGCCTTCTTGAATCTGCAGATTATTGTCTTATACCAATTTTGGAAAATTCCAAGCTATTATCTCCTCAAAAATGTTCATTCTGCCCCATTATCTCCTTCTCCTACTGGTATGATTCAATTTACGTGTCTGTTAGATCTTCTCAATGTGTCTTCTATGTCTTTCACCTCTCCTCTGTGTTAACTATTTTTTTTTTTTTTTTGGTCTCTATGTCTCATTCTGTATAGTTTCTTCCAAAGCAGCAACTAAGGAATCCTCTTCACCAGTTCTGTCATGAACCACGTTTATTCTGTTGGAAAATCCATTGTGTTCTCCTGATTTTAGTGAATGTATGTTTCTTTATTCTAAAATTTCCATGATCTTTTGAAAACAGATTCTAGTTCTCTACCAAAATCCTCAAGCTTGTCTTTAACCTCCTTTAATATTATAAATATAGGTCATTTTAAAGTCTGTGTCTGATGCCTCTACTTCAGAAGACCCCCACCCCTGCGCTTTGGGTCTGTTTCTATTATCTGTTGTTTCTATTGGTTTTTTATTCATGTTCTCTGTTCTGTTCATGGACCTATTCCCTCTTTTTTAATTGAGTGTCTTTTATTTGAAAAACTGGAAATAATTCATGACCTTAACCCAATTTTAGGGGCTAAGATGATCAAAATCTGAGCTTCAGACCTTGAGAGGGCCTGTCTACTTCTGGTTCACCTTACTCCTAGAGTACAGCACTCAGCACTTTGGGGTCACAGCCCAAAAGAGTGGTGCTCACCAGAAAGCAGCCTGCCTTGGTACACCGGAAGGGTAGACCCTGAATTTCATTCCCTACTGTCCCCCTCCCCCATCCCCTGGAGATTACCAGAGGTCTAGTTGGTCTTGAAACTGCTCAAATTTGGAATGTGCAGATGCCCTCAGGGGAAAATAGGTTTAAATCTCTCAACCATCACCCTTTCTCAGCCTTACCCGGTGGTTTTTCATTATCTTATTTTCTGTCTAATGCCATAAAAAAAAAAATCATGTTTTACATTTTTCCCTTAGTTTTTGTTTGCTTGGTTTTTTTTTCAGAGTATTTAGTTGTCCTCAGAAGAGTGTTTCAGACTATCTAGTGTACCACCCTGAGAAAAGCTATTGGAAGCTGACTCTTTGAACCTACTTCATTGTTTTTTTTTCTTTTTTTATATAGCATAAAGTCAAAGAAAATAAATTTCTATGAAAATTAAACTGTTAGAACCTCAAGTGCCTTTCAGCCTAGTTTAATGGTAACAGTAGGATTTTTACTGGACACTATCTCCCTGCCTTTGCTCACTATCCCTACTTCCAGGAGTGTCTTCTCCTTGCATCCACTCCTGTACTCCGCTCCCCAATGTTTCAAAACTTAGCACAGTGTATTCTTACCCGGGAAGACTTCCTTAGTCACCTCGTCTTCAAACTGGCCTATGCCTTTCCTCCGCCCTCCAGCAACTTAATATTGGTATTCAGGTATTATAACCCTACACGCCATGTTGATCCGCAATTATGTTCACGTGCCTATTTGCCCGCTTGATCGTGAACTACGTTGGGACTAGGACTGGATTTTCAGTTTATTTCCTTAGCACAGTGCGCACATGGCACATGGTGGTAGAGAAAACAGCAAACTCTTGAGAGGATACTGAGCTTTCCCCACTTTAGATATCTGTCTTCAAACCAGTGCACAGGCTGATTCGAGTACCTCTGTGTCCTAAATTTTAGGACATGAGCCATGAGCCCTCTGTGTCCTAAATTTTATGCTCCACCCAACACTGTCCACTCCTCAAACCTCTCCACATGATGCTCAGCCTTCGGGGTCCCAGGAAAGCTCTCCCTCTTTATTCCAGCCTTCAGTGGTTCTGCTCCCCTCAGTTCCTGAGTACACACTCATTATCCAATAAATATTAAGCTTCAACCATGTGCCAGGGGCCCTTTTCGGGGCAAGGGATACAACGATAAACAGGTAAGCGCTGCCTGCGGGAGCCTGGATACAAGTTCACTCTAATTAGCTCTGTTATACATGAGAATAGTGTTTACCCAGTGAGCAGATAAAGTGCAAGACTGTATCTTGAACTCCAGTCGCTGACAGAGACTTGCTCAGTGCTGAACCCTAAGTACCTGCTCCGCATCCTTGGGGGCCCATCCATCTGTTCTAAAGGAGGCCAGCTAGAAAGCTGATACTTCATAAAATAATATTTTGAGGGACACCTGGGTGGCTCAGTTGGTTAAGCATCTGCCTTCGGCTCAGGTCATGATCCCAGCGTCCTGGGATCGAGTCCCACATCGGGCTCCTTGCTCAGCGGGGAGCCTGCTGCTTCCTCTGCCTCTGCCTGCCACTCTGTCTGCCTGTGCTCGCTCTCTCTGACAAATAAATAAAATCTTATAAAATAAAATAAAATAATATTTTGAACACTAAAGGGGCTTTTACTGGAGCCTGACACCCATACGTGGCCGATAATTAAGAGCCTTATTTGTGTGTGTTGGTGGATGAGGGAGAAGAGTTAAGTCTTCTCGCCCCCTGCCCCCGCCCAAATCTGGCTCATGCACGTGTGGGTGTGTATGACCTAAAACAAGAAGAAAATGTCTTCATCGTCCTTTTCCCTGTCTCTCACTGTTTCCACAGGTCAGCGTGGAGGTTTTGGTAGAGTACCCTTTTTTTGTGTTTGGACAGGGCTGGTCATCCTGCTGTCCGGAGAGAACCAGCCAGCTCTTTGATCTGCCGTGTTCCAAACTCTCAGTTGGGGATGTCTGCATCTCGCTGACCCTCAAGAACCTGAAGAACGGCTCTGTTAAAAAGGGCCCGCCCGTGGATCCCGCCAGCGTCCTGCTGAAGCATTCAAAGACCGACATCCTGGCAGGCAGCAGACACAGGTATGCCGAGCAGGAGAACGGCATCAACCAGGGAGGTGCCCCGATGCTGTCTGAGAATGGCGAACTCAAGTTTCCGGAGAAAATAGGATTGCCCGCAGCGCCCTTGCTCACCAAAACAGAACCCAGCAAGCCCACGGCAACGAGGAAGAGGAGGTGGTCGGCTCCGGAGACCCGCAAACTGGAGAAGCCAGAAGACGAGCCACCTTTGACTCTTCCTAAGCCTTCTCTAATTCCTCAGGAGGTTAAGATTTGCATTGAAGGCCGGTCTAATGTAGGCAAGTAGAGGCAGTGTGGGGAAAGGAAATTCGGCTCTCCCTTATCATTTGTATCCAGATTACTGTACTGTAGGCTAAATAACACAGTATTTACATGTTACCCTCTTTAGGTTTCTGTTCTAACCTTGTCATTAGAGTTACAGCCGGTGTTGCGCAGGAGATGGGTGCACTTGCTTTTCCGGGAGTGTCTGGCAGTGACAGTGGCAGGTGGGGGGGGGTGGAGGGGGACGGCCAGGGCAGGCCACCCCCCTCCCTCCCCGTGCAGGCTCTGGGGCGTCCCGGTAGAAACGAAATGTGGCTTCCGAGCACCTGTCTTTTCCAGCCGCACAGAAGCCTCCACCGGGCGCTGACTTCCGCCGCTTTCCCAGAGAAGTTCTGCGGGGCAGGGAGCTGTCCGGGGTGCACACGCGTGTGCGTGCGTGTGCTCCCATGGGGGCGCGTGCACGTGGGGGACACAGGTGCATGGCCAGGGAGGTTCCCCTTCCCTCTGCCTCCCTCTGGCCCACTCTCTCCGGCCCTCAGCGCGGGACTGGAGGTCCAGGGGGAAGGTCCTGGTGAGGTTCTCCCGGCAAAACCAACACAGGAACTCAGCAGGGCCCGATCAGGGGCCTCACTCAGACAGCAGATGGGAAGCTAACCGTGCAGAAGATCCTTCCCCCCCACCCCCCAACATATTTTACAATAAAAGCAACTTTTAATCCTATAGATATATATTTCCCCCTATGGGGCCTGACTGCACTGATATTTTTTTAGAGCAACTGCCACACGTGGGATTTCGTTTCTGCTTTACTAGCGCAGTGATGTCTCCGGGGTGTCCCGGTGGGCTGGGCAGCTCGTGCTGGCCAGCGCCCCGCACGGTTGGGGGGGCGGGGGTGGGGGCGGCGGCCGGGGTGGCAGAGGGCGGACACCCACTCTGGATTCCGTGCAGTGTTAGGAAAACCAATCAGGTGATCTCTTTGACTTCGCTCCCAAGAGGTAGGCGCGAACTGCCCTTCAGAGAGCCGCGGGAGCTCTTGCATTGGGTTTGCAAATCTCGTCTTTTAACTTTAGTACTGTTTATAGTTCATGACTATGGACAACTCGGGTGCCACTTTTTTCAGATTCCAGTGTGACGTGAGGAATTAGATTTTGAAGATGAGCATATATATTACTATCTCTAAGCACTTAAAATGCTGTTCACACTTTATTACCAAGCATCTTGGTCTATCATTCAACAAGTACTGTATCTCCCTTTAAACTCTTTGGGAAGAAAAAAACAAAACAAAAAAACTAAGTTGCTTTCTTTTTTTTCCAACACTGTAACTACATTTCAGCTCTGCAGAGTTTCTCACGAGCAAGATATTGGAAGTTTCAATGTGGTTTAAAGGGATGAATGTGAATTATGAACTAGTACGTGACAATGGCCACCGAGTACCGCCTGACAGAAGGCACTTTTCACTTTGATGTTTGAGAAAGAATTAAAGGCCTATGCAGAGCTGGCAGAGAAACTGAGAGAAAAGGGATGGAAAAAAGAATACTCATTTTTGTCCAGTGTTTTTCTTTTTAAGATGAACTTTTAAAGAGCCTTGCAATTTGCACATCTTGAGTTTATAATTTGTGTGATATTCCTGCAGTTTTTATCCAATAACATTGTGGGAAAGGTTTGGGGGACTGAACGAGCATAAATAAATGTAGCAAAATTACTTTCTAACCTGCCTAAACTCTAGGCCGTTTTATAAGGTTATGTTCCTTTCAAAATTCATTTTGGTCTTTCTACCACATCTGTCACAAAAAAAAAAAAAAAAAAAAAAAAAGTCATAGCAGGACAACTCTGAGAATTTTCTTCAGACTCATTAAGAAAGTTTTCCATAAAGACATTTATATATGTGATCAAGTTTTTAAAAAAAATTACTTTATTATTGTTGAAATTAATGTTATTTTCAGAATGACTTTTTTTTTTTCCATCGGAAATCAAATCAAGATTTTAATGTTTGGTACAAACCCAGAAAGGGTATATTTCACAGTTTAAAACTTTCATCCCCAGAGACCTGAAATATTGTTTGTGGGTTTTGAGTACGTGTCTTAAAGTGCTTTTTAAAAAAATAGTTTTATAAGTAGGGAGAAATTTTTAAATATTCTTACTTGGAATGGCTGCAGTCTCTCTGAACAAATACTTAATTGGATTTTTCTTTTACCACTGAAAGGAGTACTTCTTGCATTTCGCAAATTTGAAAAAAAAAAAATTCTAACGTCGACCCACATTTTGGCTGTCGAGTATTCCATTATATTGAGCTCTCACCAGAACTAATGATATTTATAAACCGTTTTCTGGGGTGTACCAAAAACATTTGAATAGGTTTAGAACAGCTAGAACTGATCCTTGACTTTCTGTGGATTTCATTACCCTCTCAGCATGCTGAAAGAGAGCTGGGTGAGCCCATTCTTGGGGTCATACTGCTTATTTAGTGCTGTATTTTTTTTTTTTTTAACGTTTCTGCTCAGAGAACTTGCTTAATCTTCCATATATTCTGCTCAGGGCACTTGCAATGATTAGGTTTTTTCTTTTCCTTCTGTAACCTTTGATGGTAAGAGGAATACGGGGCTGCCATATAGAGACTCTGTCCTCATCAGTACCACTATTTACAGAAACTCATGTGGACGCAGAAACACACACACACACACACACACCACCTTTCAGTTTAACTTCCAGTACTGAACTAACTGGATCCTCAACACCGACACTAAAATGGGAAAACATACATGGTTTGCAGCAATAGGAACATCACCATTAATTTTTGTGCTTCTATTTCAGGTATAGGAATTACACAGTCATGGGTTCTCTCTAAACATTGTCCCATTTCATTCTCTTGCTTTTGTAGCACGTGCAATACTTCCCGTGCCAATACCCCGACCAGTGTGCTCTAGGGAACGCTCATCCCCCATTGGGCCCATCATCCCTGTTCTGGCCAGAGAGGGGCTGGAGGGGAGGAACCAGGAAGGGGAGAGCTTCCCACAGCGAGCTCCCACTGAGGATGTGGAGTGCTGGGGCTGGGGCTGGGAGCTTTTGGGAGCCCCGTGTGTCTGTCACCACGTTGCAGAAAGAGCCAGTGGAGGAGAGCTAGGGGATGAGCTGCAGTCTCCCCCTGGCCACGAGGAATAGTATGCACTATGGAGAGGGCAGAGGCAGATTCGTTTCTCAGGTGTGCCCAGGAGCAACTAGAACCAGGATCGACCCATTCCATCTCCACGGTGTTTTCCAGAGCGGGCAGGTTCCTCTTTCCCCGGTCTGTGTCCTTGACGCTTTGAGCCGTTCCTCTGGGCATGGGCAGGAAGTGTGGCCTGATGTGTGTGTGCACGCTGTGAACATGTGGCCAGTGGCCATGGAGGGGCCACCTGCAAACAATGGTCACCGGTCCTCTGCGGCAGCTTTCTCTTCAATAGGAAGAACATCCAGAGGACAGGGAACCTCGTCTCGTTGGCAGACATTGGTGAGCCCGGGGTGGCCTTGGTCCCCACTCCTGTGTAGCAAACCTAACAATGACAGGCGTAGAAATTCTCCGCTGCCGAAAAGCTTAAGGAGGATCAGCCATGTGCCTCTGTACGATGTCCACTTTGCAATAGTTAGCCATCTTTAGTTCTTTCTTTCTCTCCTGTTTTCCATTTCTAAAGTACTAACAGCAGGCCTTTTGCGTTTACAACGAAACACAATCACCAAGAAATCAGTCAGGGCGAAAAGAAAAAAAAAAAAAAACCAACAAACAGGAACCTCTCTTTATAGGGATTTCTAAATACGTAAAATGACTGTTCCTTAGGATGTCTCACTTAAGAATCATTTCAAGTTTGTTTGGGCCACATTGGGGAGGGGTTGGGGGATACGGAGAAGGATGCCACTTACCTCAAACCTTGTAAAGTGGAAATCCAAATTGCATTTTCGTTCAGACTTGGGGATAATTTTCTATGTCGGTCAGTTTTTTGTTTCTCCCCCCTCCCCATCCCGGTCTGGTGTGGGAGGATTTGATTTTTTTTTTTTTTTCTCCCGTGGCTGTTGATCCCATCGCTGACTCTGAATGGTGCCCCCTGTGTTTTTGGTTAGGTGAGTGTGTTGCGCTTTTCTCCCCCCACCAGGAAGTGGCAGCATCCCTCTTCTCCCCTACAAGGAGCTCTGCGAAACCTTTCTCACCTCTTACTCAGGGACGGGGCTGGCGTGTGTGTGGCACACTGGTGTGTCCAGAAGCAGCATTTCGCCTGCTCTGGAGTACGGTTGCATAACTCCGAGGAATGTGTAGATTTCCTGCATCGTGTGGATTACCCCTTCGATATGGCATACATTGCAATATCATGCTGCGTGTTCATGAGGAACAGTAGCTCCTAGTAATCATAAAATTCACTCTTTGCACATAGTTTTGATCTTTACTGAAATGTGTTGCCAAAATTTATTTTTGTTGTTGTCGCTTTGGAATTCTTTTTGTTTGTTTGTTTTTTAAGGAAACAATTGACAGTACCCTTTAACATCCGTGACTGCTAAGGAAACCTATTTCTTTCGTAGAGAAAAAAAAAAAAACTCAAAATGCTTTTGAAGACACTAATGCCATGCTATTTCAGATGTGGGAGAAGCAGCAGAGCTCTTGGGACGGGAGGCCAGGCTTTGTGAGCTGTGCTGGTTGTCATGGCTACCGTCTCCGGAACCCACAAGCAGCTCGACAAACTGGTCTGTTCTCTCCCAGAAGGCTTTGCACTTCTGTTTCCTAGTCACCCACGATGATTCCAGGTGAAAGACGGGCCGGCCGTCTCAATCCAGCGCCCAATCCAGCGCCTTCGGTGGGGATCTAAAAGGAAAGGAAGTCACGCTTTCTTTTTTAAAGTGGACTGGAAGCCTTTGCTTCCACCTTTGTGTTTTTAACCCAGAATTTCTGAAATAGAGAATTTAGGAACACATCAAGTAATAAATATACAGAAAATATACTTTTTTATAAAGCACATACATGCGTATGCTATTGTGTTGGGTTGGTTTCCTCTTTTTTTCCACGGACAGTGTTGTGTTTCTGTTGATAGGGAAATTCCAAAGAATTTGCACACCTCCACTCCGGAGCTGAGATTTCTTTTACATAGATGACCTCGCTTCAAATATGTTACCTTACGGGATAGGATCTTTTCTTGTAGCACTATACCTTGTGGGAACTCTCTCTCTCTTTTTTTTTAATGTACACCTAATTTGAGAAGCTGAAGAAGAAAAAAATTTTGAAGCACTCATTTTGAGGAGTACAGGTAATGTTCTTGAAAATTGCACAAAAGAAAAATGAATGTCGAAATGATTCATTCAGTGTTCTAAAGACATGGATCTGTTGAAACAATGAGTTTCATACCCTGTTTGTAAAAAAAAAAAAAAAAAGCATAAAGGTTGAAAGTTACATGTTTGGGTTTTTTTTTTGTTTTGTTTTGTTTTTGTTTTTGTTTTTGGTATATAGAAAACTGTTATGTCTCAAATAATCAGATTTGTGAGATTATGGCCTGGAAGAATTACTACAGAAAAGGCTCTTAAACTATACCCACACTTCCTTTATGTTTTTGTTACATAGAGCCCTCTTCCGAGGGAGGGCAACTCTGTATTCTGCAATTTGAGAATACTGTTCATTCCTGTGCTGAAAGTACTTCTCTGAGCTCCTTTCTTGGTTTAAACTCTCAAGTCCTTGCAACTCCTTTTTTCTCCAGAGATCACTTTTGACATCCTCCGCACTTCTTGTTCCAATAAACCCAAAGAATATAATCCTGAGCAAGAAGTGTTTGTAACAAGAGATCCTAGCTACCAGAAAAACAGAACTCATTATGAGGACAACAAAAAAACAAACAAACAAAAATACGCTCAGCCTTCTTCCCCTCCCCACACCTCATTTAAATGGGGGACTTGAACATGAACTTCAATTTCAATGCCTCATTTTAGTTTGGGGGGGTCTTTTTCCTTTAATCTTGAGGCCAAAATCAATGTAGAGCAACTTCTCAGAAGAGTCCCATTTTGTCCCCAAATCAAGGCAGCCAGTGGAAACTGGACAGCCGTGCAGGAGCGTTAAACACACCCACGTACAGTTCTTAAATTCAGAATCTCAGCCCCTCCTTTACTTTTTAAAATGCAAGGCGTCTGGTAGCTGACATTCACCTGTACGATGACGGGAGTGGACAGTGGCTTCAGCTTTTCATGTCCTTCATGACTTGCATACAAATGGTTCAGCTGTATTAAAATTAAGTGCATTTGGCTGATAGGTAGTATGTATACGTAAGGGTCTCTCAGAATTTCCGTAACTTTTCTTATCTGAAAGGACTTAAGTCTTCCACTGCAGATAATTGGAGACTTTGCCCAAGTTTTCTTCCCCTTTAGTTTGTGTGTTCGTTTGCTGTCTGGATAGCCAACGAGCCTGTCTCCTTTTCCATGGCCAGTCTGAAGGCCTGCGTTGGAAGTGCTGTTTACAGTAATCCTTGCCGGGATAACATCCTGTCCTCCAGAATGTCAAGTCTGAGATGCCAGACACTGGCTTAGAGCCGGGTCTTTACAGAGCAGTTACCAAGAAGTCGGGGGCGTAGGTTTCCTCTGGTTCTTACCCGAACCACTGAATCTTTAAGGCATTCTTGGGTCCAGGAGTGGGGTAAATTGTTCAGTCAGTGAACCTTGAACTTGACACCTGTATGTTCAGTTCTGTGAATATTGCCCTTTTGGCCTATTAGGGTGGTTTCTTCCTCCTGGGTCTTCACCTGTAAATCCATTTAGTGTCAAGTGAATGGAGGTTTCAGGAGAGCCCTGCCCAGTATTTGTGGGGCCCTTTGGGTAAGACAGTCCTAACTTCTGGCCCCAAGGCCATCTCCGAGATTCATACCTTCGTCTGTTTTACAATCAGATCATTACCTGCCGAACTTCCAATTGTATGCCTCCCACCGGCCAGGGAAAAGAGACGCCAGAACTTTGAGGGCACTATCAGACTGATATGGCCAGTACAGAGGAGAACTAGGGAAGGAATGTTTTGCACCTTATTGAAAAGAAAATTTTAAGTGCATACATAGTTAAGAGCTTTTATTGTGACAGGAGAACTTTTTTCCATATGCGTGCATACTCTCTGTAATTCCAGTGTAAAATATTGTACTTGCACTAGCTTTTTTAAAACAAATATTAAAAAAAAATGGAAGAATTCATATTCTATTTTCTAATCGTGGTGTGTCTATTTGTAGGATACACTCGAGTCTGTTTATTGAATTTTATGGTCCCTTTCTTTGATGGTGCTTGCAGGTTTTCTAGGTAGAAATTATTTCATTATTATAATAAAACAATGTTTGATTCAAAATTTGAACAAAATTGTTTTAAATAAATTGTCTGTATACCAGTACAAGTTTATTGTTTCAGTATACTCGTACTAATAAAATAACAGTGCCAATTGCAAACGTGTGTCCTTCCGTGTCAGGTCCTTGAAGAGAAGAGGCAACTGAGGAAAAAATGGTAATCCCGCACTTCGCCCCCACCGTGAGCACCGGGTCGGTGTGTGCTGGGGAGGGACACAAGGCACTGGTTTTCCTACTGCTGTTTTGGAGGGGGAGGCTGGGGGAGGCAAGATGTGGTGGTTATGCCCGAGATGAGGTCCGCGATAAAAAGATAAAAGGCACGTTTCGACAGCCCATGTTTCGACTTACTCAGTTCGCGTTTTATTTCTATCTGAACCATGCTGTTGACAAGAGAGATTTGTTTCTGAACAGCATTTGGCAGCTTCATGGGACTCCTGTAGCCTCATCCATAACATTCTGGAACAATGTTGCTATACGCCGGTTCGGGGTCTAATCTTGGAAAGTTCCTCCGGCTCCTGCCTGACAGAAATTCCACAAGCCAGGGGTCTCCCTGCATGCACGTGGGGGAGCCCATTTGTCTCAAGGGTACAGCATTGGGGGCGCTCACGGTGCCCACTCAGCCGTTGCCCCACGAAGTAATCCCCCCAGGACCCAGGCATGGGAACCCCTCTGCCCACTCTGTGCATGTGGCCATAGCATCCTTCCAGGCTTAAGATGCTGCAGAGGTGGAAGGGAATTCTCTGGGTCGAATTCAGAGTTTTCTCTGAGCCCAGGGAGGCGGGGGTGATGCCTTTCCTTTTGCTGCCTTCCTGGTGAGATGTCCGGGGACATCTCGCCCCGACTCTCCTCTTGGGACTCAGAGTTGAGGTCCTGAGCGCTGTGAATGTCAGTGCTGAAGAAAGGTGCACCAGGCAGGAGCTGCTAAGGTGAAGGGCATCTCATTCACAGACCCCGCCCCTGCCCCCACACCGACTCCTGCACAGGAAGGCTTGCAGGTTGCAGCAGACACTCAGGTATCCTGCCTGATACCAGGTCTGAAGGCGCCCCCAGCACGGGGCTCCCCTGCACCCCTGACCATGGGAGGCAGAAAGGAACTTACTAAGGCAAAGCATAATGGAGCTTTTGGGGCGCTTTTTGCAAAAATCTCTGCTTCGAAGTGATTCGCTTCCCTAAAAACTAGGTGGGCGTAAGGACCTGCTTCCAGCTCATGGAAACGAAGCATGCACAATCTGTACACGACCTGGATAGAGCAAGGTCTCTGAAAGCACAGCCTCCAGCGGGCTGCTGGGGGTCCCCTTCCCAGACCACTCCCTCTGGGTGTGGCACAGGAGTGGGCTGTGCGAGAGGCGACAGCGGCCAGCCCGAGCTCAGGCAGGGGTGTGCCCTCAAAGTCCCCCTCACTACGGTGCATTCGGAATGGGTTTAAGACCT